TCACCAGAGTTTTCTGAAGCACCTAGTGTACATGCTCTGGGGACCTGCAGAGACCCACACCTTGCCCGCCAGGGTCTCAGGTTCTGCCAGGACAGAGGGCAAGATGGCCCCAGAGCTGCTCTGCCCTGCCCCCAGTTCCCTGGTCTCCCCCGATCCTTCGCCCCCACTGACCCCGGTGGTAGTAAGCCCATCCCACCAGGGAGGAGGTCTTCTCAGTCCCTCTCCTTGGGTGCCTAACACAGCGCTGGACACCAAGCTGAACTCACCCACCAGCAGGCACGTGCTAGCTCTGCCCAAAGCAGATAAGCCTGGTCTTTGGTCTGAAAGCTCGGAGTGGACACGGTGTCTGTCTCCCCCTGCTGGTCCCTCAGGGGACAGCCTGGCCCAGATGCTTTCCACAGAGCTGGTGGAGTCCGTGTCTCACCAGTGGACGGTGAGCGCTGAGGGTGTGGAGGCAAGGGCCCAGGGACTCAGGCTGCCTGCAGCGGGCAGCAGTCCCAACACTGCCTCCTGGTTCCCTGGGGCTGGAAGCCTGCCGCTGGCAGGGGCCCTGCGGGGTGGTCCTAGGGAGGCCAGGGTGCCTCCCTGATGCCCACGGCCGGCAGGCCCCAGCCTTCTTCCTCTGCTAAACCATGAATGGAGCTGTCATGCACGGATTTATCTAAACCTTTTGTGAAGCTGTTTATACTTCCAGCTGAGACCACATCTTGGGGTAATGAGTTCCATCGGTGTCCTCCCCTGCTGGGTGAAGTGCGCTGCCTTTGATTTGTCCTGAATTCACCTCACTTGCGCTCCGAGGGGCCCTGTAACTCCAGCATGCCAGGTTCTGGTGAACAAGCCTGAGCTTCCCATCCCTGCTGTGGGTTTAAAAAATCCCAGCCCCTCTCCCCACCGTCTCCGGCCCTGCAGACAGAGGAGATCTGGTCTCCAGCCTGTGCACGGGTTCCGGCAGCATGGGCCCAGCCACTACCTCACATCAGCCTCTGGCAGCTCGCAAGGACGGTGAGGACTCACATTCTCCACACCAGGCAGAGAGGCCCAGGCCAGAGGGGCAGGCACGTGGCGGCGGCCCCAGCCCCTCCCATTCCTCCTCCAGGGCTGACCTCTGCCCCCAGCCAGTCCTCAGAGTATTTCCCCTGCTCTGGCCTCCAAGCCTTTTCTCTCTAATGTTTCCCTTGGGCGGAGGGGACGCCCCCGCTCCCTGAGGAGTTCCTAGTGTGGATTCACCCTGGCTCTGTCCACATAAATGATTTATCTTGTCCCCAGTCCTGACCCTGACACTCCAGAGCCAGAAGTGGTAGGACACAGCCGTAACAGCAGCAGCGCTGGCCATGTACTGAGAGCTGCATAAACACTGACTCAGTGAGTCCTCACACAGACCTTTGAGGTAGGGACTCCTCCCCCAACTCATAGATGAGGAAACTGAGGCTCAGAGAGTATAAGCAACACATCAGTTCGAAAGTGGAACCACATTGGCACCTAGCACCCCATTGTCCACCTCAACCGAGAACCTGGGTTTAAGTCCTGCAACCTCTCTGAATCCCATACTGTAGTCATTCCATACAGGCTCATTAAGCCCCTGCTATGAGCCAAGCCTGCTCTGGTTGCTGGGAGAAATGGCAGGGGAAAAGAAATGCCTGGGTGGGGATTACCTTTATGGACAGGGGACACCTGGTGTGCCACAAACACATTCCAGGGGGGCCAGTAATGCCCCACCAGCTGGGCGCTCCCTAGCCAGCTCAGTCACCCCAGAGTAACCCCCAAGCGCCATGTTGTGTGAGCAGACTTGGATTCAGCAGACTTCTGGGAAAGCCTGCGTGCGTGCCATTCCCTGGGCCTGTCTCTCTTCACCAGAGCGGAAGCCCATGAGAGCAGGGATTTTTGTCCTGTACTCTCTTTTCTGAACTTTGAAAAGTGTGTCTAATATGTGTGGAACACATGAATGGCAACTCTGGGGACTTCTGCAATTTCAAACTAACCAGTTGGATGAGAAGAGGTGGTTGAAGAGAAATTTCTTGACAGGTAATTATTTTAAAAGTTTGAAATGGTAACCACCTCCCTCATTCCACCTGCCCCACCCACATTCCCACAGACTTACATACTCTGGACTTGTAGGAGGACCCCCTCCACAGTGGTATGGTGACGACTGCAAGAATTTGGGGTTGGATCCTGAGAGAGCATCTCATCCAACCCGTTTTATCAGGGAAGACCTTTATCGCATGGAGTACACCCAGGTCTCCTGACGTCTGGTACAGCCCCCATATCATCTTTGGGTCCCTATAGTCATCTCTGGCCCTTTCCCAACAGTTGCGAGGCCCTCATCTCTCACTGTTCATCTTCCCTCTGGACCTCAAAGGCATTATTGGCTATGCCAATTGCAAGTCTGGAGAGGCTCCCTTCCAGCACCACAGCCGGGGGAAGTAGGACGGCCAGTTACTGCTCCCTTCCAGAGCTGTGGCCAGATTAGGAGTCCAGGGAAGCCAGAGGCCCTTCTGGGATCACAGCACATCAAGGTTGGAGGGACCTCAGTGAACATATTCATGCCACCAACCACATTATACAGATGAGTAAACAGCCGCAGAGTCACGGAGGGACTTTTGCACAGTCGTGAGTGCGTGTAGAAACCGAGGGCCACTGATCCCCGGCTCTAGGCTCCTTTCTGGTGTCTGAGCCCTTTCTGAAGGGTCAGGTGACTTCCAGCTATTGGCAGGTCTGTGTGTCTGAAGACTCAAAAGTTCTAGAGTTTATGCCTCCCTCTCCCTCCCCACAGGGCCCGGCTTGAAAGATCTCAAAGCCACTGGACCCTACAGTCCCATAGGTGTTGCAGGCACACGTGGCTGTGTGATTATCCACAGCGTCCCCGCCTTGCCTTGCAGGGTGCTCCGGCATCTGTCTCCTGTTCTCATAGGGCTGCTCAGGTAACGGATGGGGGCGGGGGTGGGGGAGGCGTGGTGGCCGTGCTAACTTAACAGCGGGATAAAAAGAAAGGGAGAGCCAGAGACAGGAAAGGTGAGGGAGTGAAGAGCTATGCTAGGCTCCTTTCTTTTTTGACAGAACGTTGAGAGGACAGCTACTGTCCAGGGAAGGGAGGGACACGGGCAGAGGTTGGGAGTTTGATCTGTCTCCCTCATCACTGCACCATGCTAAGAGCGATTCAAAGGCATCTCAGCTTCCTTTGATCACACATCTACTCATTGGACACATGCTAATTGGTCACTGACAGAGAGCCAGGCCGTGTGAGGTACAACAAACAAAACAGACATGGTCCCTGCCCACGTGGGGCAGACATACCAGTGGAGAAAACAGCTGTGAAATACACAGACACATATGAGATGATTTTGCATTGTAGCGAGTGCTGTGGATAACCTGGAGTATGGGCTTAGCTAGAGTATGGTGGTAGGGCGGGAAACAGAGATAGCCGGTGTCTCTGGACAGACGTCTGGAACTGAGCCCCAGGAAGAGAAGAAGCCAGCATGTGACAAGGGGGAAGAACATTCCAAGTGGTGGGAAACAGTATGTGCAGAGATCAGAAGTGGCAAAGGATGCAGGGGTTGAGGGAGCTGACTGGGACAGCATGCCTGTGGAGGAAGGCCACAGGTGGAGGTGGGCGGGCCAGCTCCCGCAGGTTCAGGGGAAGGAAAATGGATTTTATAGCAAGCGTAGTAGGTGGCAACTACTGGATTGTCTAAACAAGGGAGAGGTGTGACACGATTGACATTGTAAGCAGGTAACTTTGGCGCTGAAAGGAGAGTGGACTGGAGGAGGCAGGCTGGAGGCAGGAGACAGCTGAGAGCTCCTGTCTCCCCCAGGTGAGAGATGATGGTGGTCTGAACCAGGATGACGGCAGTGGAGATGGGTGATGGCAGAGCTGCCATCTGTTCGTGAGATGGAGCATTCAGGGCTTGCTGAAGGACTGTAGTTTGTCAAGGATGTCTGCGTAAAGGCAGTCCATTTACAGTGATCTCCCTGGAAGGAAGGACGGCTTCCCCTGGCGCTCTAGGGAAAGCAGGAAGGGAGGGGAACTGAGGGGGAGAGGGAGAAACGAGGTGCGGTTCCGAATTGTATGCCAGGAACTGGAGGGCAAGGGGCCCACGCACGTACAGACGATCAAGGCCAAACCCAAGCCAGCGCTTAAGGAGTGCATGGATGCCGAGGTCCTTTCAGATCACTGCCGAACTTGGGAGAAGCAGGGAACTACAGGTCGGGTTCCCCCAGACGTTCCCTTCCACTTTACACTCCTGTGGACCGAGACCCAGAGCCAGAGAAGACCTCCCCTCCTGACAAAAACCCCCTCCTCCTGCAGCCCCAGGGCCTTTTTAAAATGACTACAGAAGCATGATTTAACCTAGTAAAAACGTTGCCAGCTTCCCATTAGTGCTCCTAATCATTTGTCAGACCCCACTCCTCTGCGAAGCTCACAGACCCACCTTTCTCCCCATGGGGCAAAGCGCCGAGCATCGTTGGGCCTTTAGCCTCGCCTTTCCTGCTGGGTACACCTTTCTACCCGGATAATCTTAAGTTATTTGACGAAGCAGCCGCAGAGCCAGAACGAACAGCTACGTCACCACCCCGAGATTCTGCCGCAAGTGGCTTTAATTTCTTTAGCGGTGGTGGCTGCTGCTTGTGTCCGAGGCCCCAGCCGCGACTGGGTGCGGACTGTCTTACTTCGATTCGTATCCCCCAGACACCCAAGGAAATCCATGCTCAATGAGCGGCCCGGGCGGGCTCGCCGGCACAGCTCAGGAGGCGAGTCCCGCGCTCCCTCCCCCGCACCGGGTGCCCTGGGGCCGCGTCCTCCGAGTCCTCGCGCGCGGTGCGCAGCCGCCGTGGGCCCTGCAGAGCAGCCTGGCTCCCTGCGGACGCGGCAGGGCCAGGGGCGGGTAACGGACCGTGAGTAGTAGAAAGCCTGCCAGGCTCCAGGCGCTTCCCGATCACGTGACCAGAACCCAAAACCGCCACCGTCTCCGTCACGTGACGGCGGCGTCTGGAGCGTTTCTTTCACGTGACGGAGGCGCGCCATGCGGGCCAATGATGAGGCAGGGGCGGTGAGCGGGAAGGGGGGCGGTGAGCGGGAAGAGGCCCCCCGCGTCCACCGCGGCCCTGGGGACCTGGAAGGGAGCAGCGGGCCGGGGCCGGGTTGGAGGCCCGCTCCGGGCCAGCAGCCAGACTCAGCCCGTTGCAGGTCAGGCCCGGCCTCGGTTCTTGGGGCAGCATGAAGTGTCTGGTCACGGGCGGCAACGTGAAAGGTGAGTTGGGGGTGGCTGGGGGGCGGGGGCACGTGTAAATGCCGGAGGCGTCAGCGTAACTCCCGTTTCTCCCCACCTGCCCGCAGTGTTCGGCAAGGCCATCCACTCCCTGTCCCGTATCGGGGACGAGCTCTACCTGGAGCCCCTGGAAGACGGGGTGAGGGGCTGGGGCATGGGGGAGGGTGGGATTCCAACAGGGAAGGGAGCCTTATGCTGGGCTCGAGTCTCACCTTCACCAGGCAGTATGCCTGTGGGCAGATTTATCTGCGCAGTTTCCCTTTGGGCCCTGCCCCTGCCATCAACTCAGGCCCTTGTACAAATAGAGAGCAATTGCCCTCCCTGAAGTGCCCAGTGGCAGGTGGCAGTAACTAGGGGCAAAGGCAGAATGTGCTCACGGCTGTGTAGGGACCCTGCTGTGGGAGCAGTGCTGCCTCCGACCCCGGGAGGGCTTCATGGAGAGTGTACCCGCTGCCTGGAAGGATGGGAGGAGTTCAGCAGGTGATGGTGCTGGACCAAGTGTGAGCAAAAGTGGATTAGAGGGCTGGGTCTGCCCGTGCCCTCTGACCGTATCCCTTTCTTCTGCTTTTCCTGGCCCAGCTTTCTCTCCGGACGGTGAACTCCTCCCGCTCTGCCTATGCCTGCTTCCTCTTTGCTCCACTCTTCTTCCAGCAGTACCAGGCGGCCACTCCTGGTCAGGAACCCCTGCGCTGTAAGATCTTGCTGAAGGTGAGGCCCTTCCCTCACCAGTGGTACTGCCCCTGCCCCCACAGTCTCCACCAACAGTGCATCTTCTTTGGCTTTGGGGCATTCAGTAGATGCTAACTGCGGGGAGAGATGTATGCAGGAGCAGTCCAGGGCAAAATGCAGTGAGGGGCATAGTGAAGACAACCACAGAGAGTAATGGGAGATATGGAGAGGGTGGTTGATTCTGCCAGGGACCTGGAGTGGTGACATTCAAACTGGTCCTTGAAAAGGTAGGCAGTTATTTCAAGGCATTCCAGGCGGGAACAGCATGAACAAAGGCCTAGAAGGGCATGAGTGTCCTGCATGTTGTGAGAACTCCTGTCCTGGCGTGACACTGCTGAGCTCCTGATGGGTTAGGTCCTATGTGGGACGTTCAGGACCACCGGTTGGAAGAGGTGCAGCTTTGGGCTGCTGTGTTCCCTCCACTCAGTCGTTCCTGTCCGTCTTCCGCTCTCTGGTGATGGTGGAGAAGACTGTAGAGAAATGCTGCATTTCTCTGAACGGAAAGAGTAGTTACCTGGTGGTCCAGCTGCACTGCAGATATGGTGAGTGGGCAGCTGGCTGGCCAGGGGGGTGGAGGTTGGTGAGGCCTACTGAGACCCTGTTTGCCCGTCCAGGGGTGAGGAAGACTCACAACCTGTCCTTCCAGGACTGTGAATCCCTGCAGGCTGTCTACGACCCAGCCCTGTGCCCCCATGTGCTCCGGGCCCCAGCAAGGTGAGCGCGTACCCTGGCTGCAAGCTGAGCCTTAGGTGTCTCTCTCCCTTCTTTGGGCCTCAAGGGTCCATTTAAGAAGGTCCTTCCAGGGTTTCTGTGAACTTCAAAAAGTTCATCCAGCCCAGTTTGCTCTCAGGCCCTTGCCTGGCTCTTTACGGGGAGAGGCGAGAGTGGAGACAGGGTGCTCCCTGCTTCATGCTCCTCGCTGTCTTCGGGGGCCTGTGTTCTCTACCCTAAAGTCTAGATTGGCTTTCCGGCCTCTCAGACCCGTTCTGACTCCCCGTGTAGAAGGCAGGTCTCCAGCTGAACAGCCTTGAACAGCCTTTAAGCTTTGGGGCTCCGAGGCTCAGAAGTCCTCCTGTGGGTATTCCCGCCGGGGCAGCCAGTCTCTTCCTACCCGCCTGGGCTCTGGCCTTCAGGAGGCCAGGGAGGGAAGTCATGGTCCAGGGGGGCTGCCTGAACCAGCAGCTGTAGGGTGGGGCCATTCTGCACAGTCAGAGCACCCAGGGAGTGTGCAGGGCCCAGGAGAGGGTGACCCCAGTGGCGACTGAGGTCCCTGGCGAACACCAGCGCAGAGAGGAGTGGCTCCCTCCCACCCCATCCTGGGTGCTACTTGTGTTGGCATAAACCCAAGATCTGTCTGTTTCTTGCGGGCAACATGGGACATGGAAACCTGAAGGTCCTTTGGATCCTGACAGTCTGTTTTCCTGAGTCCTGTTGAGATCCCACTCAGGGCTTCTTTGGGGAGAGGGAAAGGGAGGGCCGTCTCAGATGTGGATTTTAGGGCCATTTCTTTTTTTCTCTGTTTTTTTTGAGTGAACAATTATTTTTCTTCTTACGAACCATTTCAAATATGTATAAAAGCAGATGTCAGCTCATGTCCCAAATTGTCTTCAAGCAGATTCCAGATGTTATTTCATCTATAAATATTCAGCAGTGTTTATCCCTAAAAGGCAGGGATTTAAAGCTCTTTCTAAAGGCCGAGTTTACAGGGTCGGCGTGGGTGTGGCTTCCACCTGAATGGGCAGGTGCTGCCTGCCCACCTTCGCGGAGTGCAGGCGGCCTGTCCCTCCTGCCACCTTCTTAGGCTTTGCTCTTGTCTCCTGTCCCTTGCCGTGGGCTTCTCCCTTACAGGAGCCAGGCAGCTTTTGATGGGACAGGGACCAGTGACCTGAACACTGTCCTTCTCCCTGGGGCATGCTAGTCCATGGTGGGTCCGTTGGGCACTGGTCACTGCCCTGCCTCAGCTCTTCTGAGAACAAAGCCCCTGGGCAGGCTGAGCCCTGGATGTCATACTGTGCCGTCCTCACAGGGTTCTGGGGGAGGCTGTTCTGCCCTTCCCTCCTGCGCTGGCCGAAGTCACCCTGGGCATTGGCCATGGTCGCAGGGTCATCCTGCGCAGCTACCAGGAGGAGGAGGCAGGTGAGGGAGCTGGACGTGGCCTGGGAGGGGAGCACAGCTGGGGGGGGCTAGGGGGAGCTGGGCTTCCTTCTGTTCCTGCCCCCACAGACAGTGCCATCAAAGCCATGGTGACTGAGATGAGCATTGGGGAGGAGGATTTCCAGCAGTTGCAGGCTCAGGAAGGGGTAGCCATCACTTTCTGCCTTAAAGAATTCCGGGTAAGGTTCCCCCCCGCCCCACACACTACCCAGTCTGCTGTGCTGCACCCCTGGGCCTCACTGCTCTGCCTGTCCCCTCCCAGGGGCTCCTGAGCTTTGCAGAGTCAGCAAACTTGCCTCTTAACATTCACTTCGATGCACCGGGCAGGTAATTCCCAGCCTCAGGAAAGGGGAGGGAGGGCTCTGGGATGCCAGGAACTAAAGGGCTCTGACCTTGTCCGGGACCTGCTACCTGCCCAGGCCAGCCATCTTTGCTATCAGGGACTCTCTGCTGGATGGCCACTTTGTCCTGGCCACACTCTCAGAGCCCGACCCACCCTGCCAGGAGCTGCATGCCCCAGGATTCCGCCAGCCGCCGCCTCTGCTGCAGGCACTCAGGTGAGGGCTCCCACAACTCCGCGGCCTGCTGCTTCCAGCCTCTGGGCCTCCCCCAGCACACACTTCCTGTGCTCACAGCTTCCATCCACCACGGCTCGGCCTTCCTGGTCAGCTGTGCTCAGACCCCGCTCCCACCCAGGGATGTGTCCCCAGGGTTGGGCCGGCTTCCTTCTCTGGCTAAGGCCTCCCCTCAGCCTCCCCCTGGGCCAAGGAGGTTAGGGCTGCAGGGAAGCAGGGGACTGCCTGGGGTAGGGGGGAAGCAGGGCAGCTGGTTTGGGGGGGATGGGTCCCATGCAGTTTAAGCAGAGGATTGGTCTGGCCCCCCGCCCAGCATGTCCCTGGGCCCCCAGGCTCTCCAGCTCTGTCTTCTGGGAAGGTTGGGGCTTGGGCTCCGGTGGTCCAGCTCACAGGACTTGCTCCCCTCCCTCTGCTGAGCTAAACTGGCCTCTAGGGTGCCTCCCTCAGGCCCCTACCTGAACTCTGATCAAGTGGATTCCAGGCCTATCCCTCCAGTAAGCCGCCACCTAAGTCCTGCCTGCATCCCCTTCTCTCCAAATGAGGAAATAGTGGAGCCGAGATCACTGGGGTCACAGCCTCCCTCCCCACTGCCAGACTCTCTCACCCTGTGGGGGCCGGCCTCTGTACCCCCTTTATTCTCCCTGTTCTGCACTGACACTGTCTCTGCCCGCAGCACACCCCACCTGGATGACTTTGTCCATGACGACATTGACTCTTACATGATTGCCATGGAAACCACTGCGGGCAGTGAGGGCTCACGGGCACCGCCCTGCATCGCCCTCTTGCCGAGTCCCCAGCCTAAGTGTAGCCCCAGCCCCTGCTCTGAGGACGAGGATGAGGATGAAGCTGAGCCCAGCACAGTGCCTGGGACTCCTCCACCCAAGAAGGTAGGGGCTGGAGGTGGAGGCAGGGACAGGAGGGAGGAAGGCGCAGGCTGCAGAACACACTCTGCTTCCTGTTCTTTCAGTTCCGCTCACTGTTCTTCGGCTCCATCCTGGCTGCTGCACACTCCCCCCAGGGCCCCAGTCCTGTGCTGGCTGAGGACAGCGAAGGAGAAGGCTGAACTGAGAAACCCTAGTTTGTGTCCAGAGGCCCTCAAACAGATGAGTTCATAGCCTCCCTGCCCCCCAGGCTGGACCTCTGCCCTGGTGTGTGGTGAAGGTGGGCTGTGCTGAGCTGAGCTGGTCCCCACCCTGAATTGGCAATGGTCCTGTCATCCCCGCACAGCCTCCAACTAATCATGTCTGCTGCCACCAGACAAGAGGTCCACACGGGGCCTCAGACCAAACTCCAACCATGTCCCTAGGGCTGGCCACCTGACTCTCCTAAGCCCACCGCCCTAAGGAAAAAAATCACTGTCGGGCTGCTGGCCCCTGTTGATTCACTGTCTTTACCAATCAATCATGATCTGTGCATCCCTCAAATTCTGGGCACACATTTTTCTTAATGTTCTTTGGTCCTTGGAATTATAAGAGCCCTGCAGACCTGCATATGTAGCTGGGGTTGCCCTGGCTGGACTCTGTGCCCAGCAAGCCTGCCCTCCCAAAAGTGGCTCTGGGCAGAAGGGCTGCCAAGCCAGGACAAGGGAGACAGAGGCTGTGGTGAGAATCCAGCTTTGACCTTTATTTAAGAGACCAGGTGGGTTGCCCCAGGATCCTGCTGCCAGCCATGAGGCCAAGCAAGGCTGAAGACTCCCAGCCTGGCCCTGCTTGCCCTGAACTGCAGCCTCAGCCCCAGGGTCCTGCTTGCAGCCACTACAGGCGCAGGCAGACGGAGCCCTGGGGGACTGGACACTGCTTATTGATTCATTAAAAAAAAAAAAAAATACACCAAGGCTCTGTGTTCCCCGTGACAGGTGGGCCCAAAGGGCCAGTGTGACCTCCCACAGCCATGTGATTTTTGTACAATCCACCATCTGGGGCAGAGGGCAGGCTCCCAGAGGCTATTTCTTGACTTTGGCGGAGTTGCGGGGTGGGGTGATGGGCCGCCCTCCAGGGTTCAGGCCACTGAACTGCCCATATTTCCCCTTGTTCTTGTCGGCTGGCTTGAGGATCTGAAAGAGACAAAGCTGGTCAGGTTCACAGGGTGAAGCCATGGGCCGCAAGCCCCATCCTCCTCCATCCCCACCTGGAAGGAGCACATGAGTGTCTCGTCCACACTCATCATGGCGCCCGCATTGTCAAACTCGCCACAGTAGTTGGGAGCTGAGAAGAGTGTGACCAGCTGTCGCTTGGCAAAGAATTCGTAGCCATCTTCTACCACCTGGACAAGGATGGGGGCAGTTAGCTCAGCAGGTGCTGGCTGCTCAGCTCTTGCTCCCACCTCGTCCAGAGCTGCCAGCCCACCTGGTGCGCCCGGCAGATGAGGTCCAAGTCATGCTTGTGCAGGAACTTGGCCACCACCTCAGCCCCGAAAGTAAAGGACACGCCACGGTCGTTCTCGCCCCAGCCCTGCACGTCCTTGTCAGGGTCAGACCACAGCAGGTCACACAGCAGGCCCTGGTCAGGTACGTCTGTGGGCCGCATGATACGCCGAATCTGCTCCATGGACTGCAGGTCTGGAGATAGGCCTGGGGGAAACGGGGGACACTTCTTCAAACAAGCCTCAAAACAAGGACCCCCCTTCTCCAGAAACCCTTTGTCAGTCAGCCTCAGCCTTCCTCCCACCACCCCTGGGATTCCAGGCAGGCAGAACCCATCACCTGCCTCTCCAGGTCCCTGCCCTCAGCTCAGAGCTCCCTGTAAGGAGATGAGCCAATTCCACACAACGCTACAGCAGGGGAGTGAGGGCTGCCTAACACCGGGGTGTGGTGGGACTTCCTGGAAAAAGTAACACCAGCCAAGAGCCCAGGGAGAGCTGTTGCAGGCAACTGAGAACAGGTCCCCCGGCTAATAAGAGCTTCATTCCAAGGCCCCCAGGAGGCTGGGCTCTTCCTTCTCAAGCAGCCCTCACCTCCGTGGCAGCAGAAGATCTTCTCGTCCACGATGGCAGCAATGGGCAGGCAGTTGAAGCAGTCGGTAAAGGTTTTCCACAGTTTAATGTTGTAGCGTCTCTTGCCTGCCCGGAGGAAGGAGGTGGCTGCCAAGGAGGCCTGTCTGCCCCACCTTCAGCCTGGGGTTCTGGGCCCAAGGTTCTTTCTGGGCTGTTCAGACACAGCTAGGAGGCAAGAAGGGACACCCCCCTTCCCTCACCCCAATGCCCACGAGCCTTCCCAAAGCAGCTGAGTCCTCAGGAACCCCGGAGTTCCAATCTGAACAAGCCTCTTCCAAAGCACTGAGGCCAGGTCAAGACCAGGCCTGGTTTATCCCAAGCTTCTGGCCAGCAAATCCAGTCTAGATCATCCTAAGTGCTTCAGTAACGTGTGTACTGGAAGGGAGTGTCACTGGACAGGGCTCTGCATCAGAACAGGAGAGCCCTTCAGCCAGCGACCATCCCAGGCCCCTCTGGAGAGCCAGGCACCATGCCAGGAGGGCAGGGCCCTGCCTTCACGGAACTTGCAGTCTAGCAGGTGTCCACACAGACACCCCTATTGCCAGGCTAACAGGAGGGTCCCACTGAATAGCAGGGAGAGCCCTTCAGGACTTATATAGTCCCACACACAACCTACTCACACTCATCATAGAAACCGTAGATCCGGTTGATGCTGGCACACTCATGGTTCCCACGGAGCAGGAAGAAGTTCTCTGGGTACTTGATTTTATAGGCCAGCAGCAGGCAGATGGTCTCCAGAGACTGCTTGCCCCGGTCCACATAGTCCCCCAGGAAGAGGTAGTTGCTCTCTGGAGGAAAGCCGCCGTACTCGAACAGCCGCAGAAGGTCGTAGTACTGGCCGTGGATGTCACCTGTGACCCAGGGGACCAGATCAGCACTAGCTGCGGGTTCTAGACTTGAACTCGGGGGCCAAAGCTGGGCTCAAGGGAGGAGAGATCCAGGGACTTTGTGGGAGAGGGGAGACAGGCAATGCCACTTTCAGTAAGCAAAGGGCCCTGGCTAGGGGGCTCACCACAGATCTTGAGGGGTGCCTCCAGCTCCAGAAGAATTGGCTGGCTCAGGAAAATCTCCCGGGATTTGAGGCACAGACCACGTATCTCGTTCTCTGTCAGCTGCACATTCTTTCCAGGCCTCGAGCCCTGCACTGGGAGCGGAATGGGACGTCAGGACACTGGTCCCTCAAGTAGGAGGAAGGTGGGCGTCCCCGGTAGCCCCATGGGCACTTCTGGGGACGCCTGGCTCCCTCCTTGCCCAGGGGCAGCTGTTGGAGCTGAGCCTTCGGGAACCTCCGTCTCATGCCTCCCAGGATGGGACCCCAACTACCCTCAAGGCACTAGAGAAGGGATGGGATTGCTGTGCGCAAGGGCCTGCCACCCAAAACCCCACAGCGCAGGACCCATTTCCAGGGGGGCTACGCTCCGCAGGTTTCTCCCTCTCCCCAAGACCCCAGGCCAACCCGTACGCCCCTGGCCCAAAAGAGGGGTCTGCTCCCGGTGCTGGAGTGGCCCCAAACCTCCCAGGCGCGCCGCGACCTGGGGGAGCGGCTGTGGCCGCGGGACCTCGCGGCCCGCACCCGTCCTGTCTAAGCTGGCCCCGGGAACTGCAGGCCCGCCCGCGCGCCATTTCCGGGCCGGGCAGGGGGCCAGGGCGCGGCGAGCGCCGACCTCCCCGTCCCGGCCAACCTTCCAGCAGGCGCCCGATAATAGAGTCCAGGTTGAGTTTCTCGCTGTCGGACATGGCGGCGCCGCCGCTCCGGCCCAGCAGCTCCGGGCCCGCTCCTGCCTCCCGCCCTCCCGCCGCCTCCTTCCGGCCTGGGCTCCTTCCGCCGCCCCGGCCCGCCTCCCTCGGGCGCCCGCCCCGCCCCGCCGCTGCCCCCGCGCTCTAACGCCTCCGCCGGACGCCGGCGCCGCGGACGCGGCAGCCCGCGGGGCGGGGCTTGGGCCGGGTTCTGCGGGCCTGGGGCGGGGCGGGGTCGAGCCTGGCCCCGCCCTTGAGGAGTTGCCCAGCCGGTTCCGAGGACATGGGGCCGGAAGTACTGTAGAGGTTGTTTTTCTCTTTCAGAGGCTAATCGGCTCTTCAAATCCCTGCCCGGTGCGGGAGCGTGGTGTGAGCCCATTGATAACCAAACACCTCGAAGTGCAGAAGAGGAAACTGAGGCTCCGAGACAGCGAGGGGCTGGTCCAATATGCGGCCTTCACATTCGCTAATACCAGACCCAGACACCTGCTGCTGAACTTCGGAGCTTATTTTGATCCATACTGCCTGTACTCCACAGTAAATGAGTATATTGTTGCCTTTTAAGTAGCATGATAATGCTACATTGTGTGCATGTTAAAAGTATTACTTTGTGAAGAGCAAACATTAAATAAACCATAATTCTCATTGGAATCCAGTGTTTCACATGCTGGTAACATCAAAACCGGAGGCAGCCTGGCCTCTACCTCTGGCAGGCCCTGGCCCACGGCATCCAGCACTAGAACCCAAACCTGTAGCCACCCAGCCCGCAGGGAGGGTGGGAGGAGCCCATGGCCCAGGAGCACTGGGGCAGGCCGGAAGAGCTTCAGAGAGGAAGGGGTGACCCCCCCCAACTTGGGAGGCCCCCCCCCCCCAGCGGGTTGCTGAAGCTGCTGCGGAGGAGGAAGTGAGAGGAGGAGGTGAGGTGCGGCAGGGAGGTAAGCTGGGCTGGGGGGCAGGAGCTGGGCCTGGGGCTGGATCTCTGTTCAGAAGCCTGGCCTTTCTGTCACTTCAAGGCTTCAGGGCCTACCCACCCCCACCCCAGTAGAGGGGACAGAACGGTCTTGTGGAAATACCCTGAAACTTCCCAGCTTTGATGCCACAGCCAGGTTTTGGGGCTGGGGACTGGCTGGACGGGAGCCCAGGCTCCAGGCTGGCCAGGAGCTGCCTCACCCTGGCTCTCCCCACATCTTGCAGCCCGTGGCAGAGGGGGTCTGGGGCACCATGGCCCAGGCCCTGGGGGAGGACCTGGTGCAGCCTTGCGAGCTGCAGGATGACTCCAGCTCTCTGGGGTCTGACTCAGAGATGAGTGGGCCTGGCCCGTATCGTCAGGCTGACCGCTATGGCTTCATTGGGGGCAGCTCCGCAGAGCCAGGGTAAGTGGGGAATGGGTGGGTGCAGTGGAATGCCAGGATTGAGGATGGGGGCTGAGGGCTGACTTCTAGAGTGAGGCTCAACCTCGAGCGTCCTGCGATGGTCTGGGGCCTCAGCCAGGGTCACCCCTCCTCAGGCTCCTGGTGGAGTCCTAAAGTTGACAGGGATGGGTGGGAGGGTCCCTGTGTGTCTCTTTTACTCCCAACCTCCAAGGGTTTGCACCCATACTTGAGACCAAACATCTTTCTCATTTTAATCTCTGGCCCAAGAATCCCAGATCCAAAACACAGAACCAGACTCCAGCTCAGGACTCCTGGCTTCTAGTCCAGGGCTCTGTCCACCCAGCTCTTCCTCTGAATACTCTGTGTCCCTGTCCTGGGGAAAAGCCACCGAGCCCCTCCTCCAACACCTACACACCCCCTTCAGTCTCTCCTGCTTCTGCCCACCTTGGAGCCACATCCTTTCCTGTCCCCATGACAACCTCTGGCAACTCCGGGGGGGACAGGTCACCTCCCAGGGCTTCCCAGAGATCTCCAGGGTCTGGAACTGAGCTCACCCCTCACCTGGGTAGCATGGAGGGTGGCAGATGTGGGCTCTAGGTAACAGCTGCCCAGAGCCTGGATGCCTGTGCCATGTGCCCCCAGGCCAGGTCACCCTCCTGCAGACCTTATCCGCCAGCGAGAGATGAAGTGGGTGGAGATGACTTCACACTGGGAGAAAACCATGTCCCAGCGGTACAAGAAGGTGAGAGGGAGAGGGTCCTACCAGGCCGCCACAGCCCGGCCCCCTTTGCCTTGGCCCACACTGCGGTGAAACTTATCCCCCACCCTACCCCAACTGCTGTCCCAGCACCTCTCTTTTCTCCCTACCACCCAATGGCTCTGGCCCGATGACAAATTGTGCATGGGGCCTGACAACAGGAACCCGGGAGGCTGGCCTGGCCTAACAGGGCTCCCTTGGCCTCACCCACAGGTAAAGATGCAGTGCCGGAAAGGCATCCCCTCTGCTCTGCGGGCCCGGTGCTGGCCTCTGTTGTGCGGGGCCCATGTGTGTCAGAAGAACAGCCCTGGCACCTATCAGGTAAGGGTGTTCACAGAGGTCCCACCTCCCTTTCCCAGAGCCCCTCAGCACTCTGAGCCCTCACACTCACCTTCCTGCCCACCCACAGGAACTGGCTGAGGCTCCCGGAGACCCACAGTGGATGGAGACCATCGGCAGGGACCTGCACCGCCAGTTCCCTCTGCATGAGATGTTTGTGTCACCCCAGGGTCACGGGTATGAGCTTGGTGATGCCCAGGGACCCCCAATCCCACACCCCTAGGGGCTTTGGTCCTGACCGAGCTCTGTATTCTTGCACCTCAGAGGACTCAGCAAGGCCTGGGGGACTGAGGCCTGGGAAGAAGCTGCTAGAGGGTGGGTGGGGATACCTGGAGGATGGGCTCCTAATGGGATCTTCTGGCGCAGGCAGAAGGGGCTCCTGCAGGTACTCAAGGCCTACACTCTGTATCGGCCTGAACAGGGCTACTGCCAGGCCCAGGGCCCTGTGGCTGCTGTGCTGCTCATGCATCTGCCCCCGGAGGTGAGTGCCCTCAACCCTGCTCCAGGGATCCATGAACCCCAACCCAGGGGCTCTGACTTCAGGCACCTAAGACCCTTGACCCCTAACCCTAGTGACTTAGTAATTCTGTCCCCTCAACCCATGACCCCCAAGCCCCATGAACTCCAGCCTCAGGGACCTGGTATCCTTGACTCTCAGATCCTGTCCTAGTGACCCAGGGCCTCATGACCATCAACCTCAGTGACCTTCAAGCCCAACCACCTTGACTCCAGGAAGGTGGGACCCTTCACCCCTGACACTTGCCCCAGTGATCTAGGAGTCTGGACATTATCACTTTGACCTCATGACTCCTGATTCTGAACCCTGTGACCATGATCCCTGACCCCAGTGACCCCAAGAACCCAGGACTTAAACTTTAGGACCCTCCCAACCCCTGATCAGTGAGCCCAATCCTATGACCCTGAAATTCAATACCCTGAGCCCTGTAAATTTCAATCCCGTAAACTCATTGTTAGGCCTCTGTCTGGGCAGGGGGAGGCTTTAGGTAAGAGCCCCTGGCACTGAGTCCAGGCTCCTGGCTCCAGAGCCATGCCAGCTGTTGTCCAGGCCCCCCGCTGTGCCCCTTTCCCTGCCCCGTGGGTCCCTCTGTGGTCCCATCCCCAGGGGGCACTCACGGCCTGTGTCCTGCCCTCAGGAGGCCTTCTGGTGCCTGGTACAGATCTGCGAGGCCTACCTCCCTGGCTACTATGGGCCCCACATGGTGAGAGGCTGGGCTGCGGCTGGGCAGGTGGGTGGGGCAGAGCCTGGGGTTTGGGAGCAGAGGTGCTGACAGACTTTGCCGCAGGAGGCTGTGCGGCTGGATGCCGAGGTGTTCATGGCCCTGCTGCGGCGGCTGCTCCCGCGTGCGCACAAGCACCTGCAGCAGGTGGGCGTTGGGCCCCTACTCTACCTGCCTGAGTGGTTCCTGTGCCTCTTCGCTCGCTCCCTGCCCTTCCCCACAGTGCTGCGTGTCTGGGACGCCTTCCTCAGCGAGGGTGAGTGGGTCCCCCGACCCGGGGGGCGCGGGGCGGGGCCTTCAGGTGCACAGGAATGAGTAAGGCCCTGCTGCCCCCTGCCACTGTCAGCCTTGGCCCTGGGTCTGGGTGCCAGGTGTGCTGAGGGCGATGGCACCATGCAGCTCTGGGGAACCAGCCCAGTCCTGGTGCCCACCTCTGTGTGCTGAATGATGGCCCTGCAACCCCACAGTGATGAGATGGTAAGCAGGGCAGGCTGGGGCCATGGAGGCCGCCCCGAGGTACATGGGCAGGTCATAGCAGTGGAGCTGCCCCGGCCTGGGCTCTGGGGGCGGGGCCTGGGCTCTGGGGGCGGGGCCTGGGCTCTGGGGGCGGGGCCTGGGCTCAGTGGGGCACGGCCAATGGTAGGAGTAGGAGCACTCATCCCCAGAACCCATAGGCACGTGGGCAGTGCTCACTGGTGCCAGGCGCTGCTCTGGACGCCAGGGTAAATGAGAGAGGCCTACATTTTGGTGGCGGCGGTTTTGGGAGGTGATAGTAACCAAATTAATAAGATATTTATGGTTTGTCATAAGTGCCATGAAGAAAATAAAACAAGGGACGTGACAGGGTGGTGGGAGGGGCAGCGGGAGGGGAGTGCCATTCTGCTCTGGCTATTCCGTGGAGGTGACAGGCTTATAGGGGCAGTGCAGAGGCAGACGACTGGGAGGCACACTGCCCACAGAGTCCAGGCTGTGGACAACTTGGGAGCTTCAGGCATGGAAAGAGGTGAGGCCAGAGCACTGGATGCTGGGCCAGGCCAAGAGTGCAGAGAGGTGGGCAGAGCTGAGCTGGACTCTGGGGCCTTGAGGCTCTGTCTTGGTACCACCATCAAGTAACCCACCTACACTCTGTGCTGCCTAGGTTGTCCAGAGATCACAACCATAAAAGAGTAGAAATCAGTCAGTGCATTTATTGAGCACCTGCTGTGTGCCCAGTTGGCTCCAGGCTGCCCTAGAGCTCTGGACACAGTGCCCATGTCTCCATCTACATGTCCCCTCCCCTCCCACTGAGACCTTGAGGCCTGGGCGGGGCAGGGCCTCTCACTGTGCCTCGGCTGTCCTTGCCCACAACACCAAAGACAAGCCCTGCCACAGGCACCCTTTCATAACAACGATGACATCAGTAGTTGTTATCATTCCTTTACAAGTCCTAATGTCACTAGGCCTCCCTGGTCCCCTGACTGCTCTTCTCAGTAGACCCAAAGTTGCCAGAAATAGATTCTGAGGCTCTAAGAACAGCCCGAGGTCACGCCCATGCATGTGCCTGTGTCGTGTGTGCACGTGTGCTCTATGCTCTCAGTGTAGGAGTGAGGAGCTCTGGCTAGAATCTCTCTAAAATCAGAAGGTCACAGATCTGAGCTGGCCGGGCCTCAATAGGCACCCACCCAGCCCTTCCACGCATGGATGACGAGCTGAGGCCCAGAGAGAGAAGGCTGGGTGTGAGGTGGTCCGTAGTCCCAGCTCCTGGCAGGCTTCTCTCTCTGCCTGGAACATCTGTGGCTGCTGAGACTTACTCCCCGGGGGCCCCAGATTGCAGTCTCCTCTCAGTTTTTTGCTGTGGGCCTGATTGACTCAGGGCCCAGGCTGCAGAGCTCCAGGACAGTAGGAGGGCAGGTTCAGGTGCAGAACTGAGGAGGGGCAGGGCTGACCCCCTACTGAGTGGTGCCCGGGCCTGCAGGTGTGAAGGTGCTGTTCCGTGTGGGGCTGACGCTGGTGCGCCTGGCACTGGGCACCGCAGAACAGCGCCTGGCCTGTCCGGGGCTCCTGGAGACACTTGGCGCCCTTCGAGCCATTCCCCCTACCCAGCTGCAGGAGGAGGCGTTCATGTCCCAGGTGGGTGCCCCCTGCCCACCCTCCACAGTGGCCCAGTCCCTGCCGCCAAGTTTGGGAAGCTGAGTCCCAAGGTGGGAAGTCAGAGTGAGAACTGGGGCTCAGTTCCTATCCTCTGAGCAGCAAAGAATGTGAAAACCCCAGGCCTCAAGTGGCTTTCCGTGGCTCCCTGAGCAAAGTAGTCTGTCAGCCCCTCAGCCCTCAGCCACTTCCTGGGGCGGTGTACTGCCTGCCCTGTGGGGACCTCATCGTTTCCTGCTCTCCCCCATCCAGGCAAGCTCAGTACTAAGTGTTCCCCACAGGTGCATAGTGTGGCCCTGTCCGAGCAGGACCTGCGACGGGAGATCAGGGCCCAGCTGGCCCAGCTGCCTGAGTCGGGGTCTGGGCCACCCCCGAGGCCGCAGGTCCGCCTGCCTGGGGCCCAAGCCATCTTTGAAGCCCAGCAGCTGGCAGGGGCACGGGGAAACACCAGGCCTGAGGTGCCCCGCATTGTGGTGCAGCCCCCAGAGGAGCCCCGGCCGCCACGGCGCAAGCCCCAGACCCGAGGCAAGACTTTCCATGGACTCCTGACCCGGTCCAGGGGGCCCCCCATTGAGGGCCCCCCCAGGTCACATCGAGGCTCCACCTCCTTCTTGGACACCCGATTCTGAAAGTCCTACTTCTGAGGGTATCATGGACTCGGTCACCTGTACAGCTGATGCCCACCTCACCAGTCGGCACGGCACTTTAGAGCTGGCATTTGGTGACTCAGCTCCCTTCTCACAGACTGTGTCAGGCTCAAGGATGAGGGAAAGTCACAGGGTGGGCTTTTGAGGGCCCAGGCCCCCCATCTGCCCATGGAGCAGTCCTGGTGCCTGGGCTCTTGCGAGCCTGGAAGCTGGCGCTGAAGGAGTGTGGGGGCAAGGGCAGCTGGCTAGGCTAGGGTACCCCAGGGGGCTCCTGGAGAGGCCTGGAATAAAATCTGCCGGAGGCTTGGATGGAGTTAGAGTGAAGGCCACCCACCCCAGCCCGGACGGGCTGCCCCTTCCCCGCCCACGCTCACCTCCCTCCAGTTCTGCCTCTGCTGGTCCAGCCCTGGACGCACCAAGGCTGCCCATTGGCTGCTGGAAGGTGTTTACCAGCAACAGGAACCAATGGTAAGCTGCCTTGCCCAGCCTCCTGGGGGCAGGTAACGCTCCTGCACCTGTGGGAGAAGAACACCCCAAGTGGATTCTAGGCCCAGAAGTGGGGCCCTATCCCCTATGCTGCCCCTCCCCTTGGTTCAAGACCCCTTAGGGATACGGGGACTCTAACCCAAGTCTGTCCCCCACCCACGGTCCTGGTCCCATCCTCAGAGAGAGCTAGGCGAGAACAAAGGCCTAGTGTGCCAGAACAAAGGAGAAAGGTCCCGCCGGCCCTTGCCCCCTCTCGAAGCCTCCGCTGCACCCCCTCGGGACTGCCACCATGGAAACCCCCTCCTACACTCACTAATTGCTCCTATGGGTGCCTGGGGTGCCTGGGACACGAGCCATCACCAGGACAACAGGGCTGGTTCCGATGCAGGTTTCTGTCCCTCCAGTGGCCGTTCCAGGGTGCCCTGCCACCCTGCCTCCCTGGGCGCCCTTCCCCCCAGGTTGGAAGGTGCAGGGTAGGGGCAGCGCAGGGCTCAGGAGCACTGGGAGAAAGTGTCTGGAGTCCCACGTAAATGGTGGAGGACTCAAGCTGCCTGTCCCAGGGGCTGTGCTGGAACACGTGTGGCCACTGGTCGGAATGTTCTAGAGACAGGGCCACGGGCTGAGGAAATGCCCTCACTCTGCATATGGTCACATGGTGCTTACTGTGTGCCAGCCAGGCCCTGGGTCCGGGGCAGACCGTCCTCTTCTCAAGGAACCTGGAGGAGGGATTCACGGGAGGTCCAGAACCAGACCTGCAGTTTCCTGGGGGAAACAGAGGCTCAGGTGGGGAGGGAACTTGGCCAAGGCCTCGCTTCCCATGACAGATCCAAGCGTCACCCCTGCCCCCCACCATGAGCACCCTCGCGGGGTGCTCTCCCTCCTGCTCCCACCCACTCCCCCTGCTCCTCCGAGTGTGGGGCAGCAGCTGGGGCCCTGAAGTTAAGGAGAGCTTCCAACGCTTCCCTCCACCCGGACCTGGGATGCCTGCTGCTCAGCGACAGCCCCCTCACTGCAGCTCACAGGACGCTTCCTCGGACCCCTCCGCCCACACCCCCTCGGAGGGTGGCACAGAGAGCCTCCTTAGAGGAACGGGGAATGGAGGTCTCCAAGGCAGAGTACCTAGCCCAAGATCGCAGGGCGGGGTGGAGCCAGCCAGAGGGCTGGTCTCTGCCTCCTAGATGATGCCTTAGCTCTGGAGTCAGGCATCTAATGGAATCTCAGGCACTGTAGCAGATGGGGGGGGGCCTTGCCCCAGGAATCCACCCATAAACGCCCTGCCCTCCATGGGCTCAGCTCTGTTCCCGTACTGGGGGAGCAGAAAAGCAGCAGCCTCAGCCCGAGGCCCAAGGATCCTTCATGAGGCTGGGAGGGGGGTCACAGTGGCAGAGGGTCCCCCTGCAGACCCTAGAGGCAGGTGGTCTCCTGCAGGGCCCCTCCAGCTGAAGCTGAGTCACTACCTTTTCTACTCAGGGAAGCATTTCCTGGGCAGGTGCTATTATCAACCATCTCTGGGGAGCCTAAGCTGAGGGGTCAGCTCCTTCCTCATGCAGACACTTCTGCACAAGCTGTGCCTCCCTGCCTTCCCCCGCGCTCTTCCCCCCAGTTGGAAGGTGCAGGGTGGGGGCAGGGCTAGCCCCTACAGCACCTGTGGCTGGTCTGGAAAAGATGCCTCCCTTCCAGGCACACGCAGCTCAGCCTGGCAGAGGGGAAAGTGACTACTCAGAGGGGTATTTTTGTGCAGTGAGCAGCCTGCACAATGACATTCAGTGAACCTGGCAGCCCCAGCTCCCTGCAAACCTGTCTCAAAAGGGGCTCAGAGAAGGCAAGCTGTATATCTGAGAGCACTCAGCCTGTGGGGACCAAAGCTGGATGGCACCTAGTAATGTCTGTCGGCCTGGATTAGCCCCACAGACAGGAGTGTGGACAGGCAAAGAAGTGGAAGGGCAAATGGATCCTTGCCTTGGTCTTGGGCAGGGGGGAGGCATGATCTCCATCTTGCACGACCAGCAGCTCAGAGGTCCCCCCAGCCCCATGCTGTCTGTCCAGAGGTCGGACTTGGATTAAGTCCCTGAGTGGGAAAAGCCCTTTCACTGTCTCTCAGCCTCAGTTTCCTCTTACAGACAATGGGATAATAGTAGCTCAGACCCCAGAACCGAGAGCCCTCTACAAGTCTCATTATTATAATGATTGTACAGCCAATTGAGCGGCAGCCTCTACCCAACCCTTACCTGGCTTAGTTCAGCCTCAGGTGACCTCCAGGCTCTAGTGGCAGGGACAGAATAGAACTGCCCTGCTAGTCTGCATGCCCCGAATCCCAGGGCCCTGGGCCTGTGCTACGGTTTCCCAACCCCAATTTTCCTCCCTGCATCCACAAGGCAAATGCCGTCACAGCCGGTATCCAGCCAGGGTGGTCTGGGGGGTGCACACAGGACGCTGCTCCCTGTGCACATAGGCACACGCTCTGGCAGAGGAAAGAGCCCAGCTTCCTCTCTCACCGCTGTATGACCTTGCGCAAGTCATACCACCTTTCTGGGCCTCACTGTTCTCATTGGTAAAAGCCAGAGAATCACAACTGCTATTGCTCAGGGGTAAGTGAGATGCAGCACACACAGCCTTCCGCACAGTGCCTGGGGTAAGATCAAGAAACGCTTGCTGATCTTGACAGAGCTACTGAGTGCTTGCCTTTTGCTGGGCACCCCTGTCCAGCCAAGCCTGGGTGGAAGGATGCTTTGTAATCCCCATTCAAAGCCCCAAACACTGAGTCTGCAGAAGCTGCATAGCTTGTGTTAAAAACAAGACAACAGGCCCAAGTGGAGTTGCTTCTGTTAAGCTCCACGTCACCAACCTGACACTTAATTAGTTTCAGCTCTCCCAGAAATGGAATCTTAAACCAGTCGATCAAGAATCATGTGATCAGCCCTAGTTAGGGTCATCTGCCTGATAGACCCCTGCCATTCCTTAAAGGAAAGTGATCTCCCAGTGACCACCCCACTTTTTTGCCCAGTAAAAGTTCCTTGTTCCTGCTGCCTTCTGCGTATACACATCTTCCATTCTGTACAGCTCAGCTCCTTTCTGCTGGATTAGATGCTGCTGGAGTTGTGAACTGTTGAATAAAGCCAGTAAGATCTTTAAAATTTATTTAGTTTAATTTTGTCTTTTAATACTTACGTGTCAACGGTCATACTCTTTGACGTCATCTGTGCCCCACCCCTGTTCCCACCGGTAGCAACCCATGCAGCAAGAGAATCGAGTTTCTCAAGTGGCACCGGGCACCCGGGCCAGCTGTGGGGTTGGCCGTGTCTGGACCGCGAGCTGGGAGAGCCCAGAGGAGCCATGCCTGCACAGTTGTGTAGGGGATGTAGGCTGGCCTGGGAGACCCTGGGTGAATCCCTCTTCTCTCCTGAGTCCCTCCAGTGGCCGGCGGTAGTGTGATCCCCACAGGCTGCTCTATACGCAGTGGTAGAGAGCATACTGGAGCTGCCACCTCTGTCCCCACAGGGTCGAGGGCCCCTCAGTACTTTCCCCCAGCCCCGGGGGGCTCTGGGAGACAGCTGGGGGTCTCCACATCCAAGACAGGCGGGGAAAGTGTCTGAGTTTGCACGTGTGAGGCAGAGGAACTGTGACAAGAGCCTACATGTGCCGGGCGCAAGGCCCCGGCTAATCCTCGCCACTCCTTGCGGGGTGGGACCCAGTCCCACCTTAAGCAGGAGGAAAGTGAAGTTCAGACCAGAAAAGGGAAGGGCCCAGGTGCCACAGCCAGAGTTAGGATTGGACCCTGCCTGGTGTGACACTCAAGGAGAGGGTGTGAGTCTCTGGGTGTGTTTCTCCAGGTGAGTTTGTGTTTGTGAGCCAGATCTCTTGGGTGTGCTTCTGTGGGTGTTTGACTGGGTGCACCTGGGTGTAAGATGTGTGTCTTGGGGAGATTGTGGGTATAACTGCGGGCATCCAGGTGGCCTGGGTGTTGACAGGCAGGGCAGATCCTGCAGATGCCCCCTTCACCTGCTCAGACCTGCTGGAATTCCCAGCCTGGCCACCCCCTTCCCTCTCTGACCCCTGCAGGGCACAGAGTATCCTAGGGACCTGGGACTGCTCTTGTGGGGGCATCTTACTGAGTGCCCGCTACTCTGGTAGGGGCCGGGAGAGGGAGGGAGGGCCTGCGCAGGTGTCAGGGACCCCCACCCAAGAGGGCCTTTCTGGGAGCCTGTGCCGCAGTGCAGAGTTCTCGTGGCTGGGACAGGCAGCCTTGGGGCGGACGTGCTGGGGGCTCAGGACTCCACCCAAGGACTCGGGCCCCAGCGCTCTCCCAGCCACCCCACCCCCAGGGGCCAAGGGCGGGCACTAGTACCAGTCTCTGCCGGCCCGGCCCTCCCTCCCCCTTCCTCTCCTCTTTCCATCTCTCTCCGCCCGTATCCCTGTCCTCTGCTTCCCCACGGCCTGTGTGTGTGACCCTGAGGATCCCTGCCCACTGGTACCTGGCCCTCTGTTCTTGGTCTGTGTCTCTGAGGATCTCCGCTGTCCCTCTGTGCCTCCCAGGCCCCTCACACCCTGCCTCTTGCCAGGGGAGGCCCCCTCACGCACCCCGCACCCGATTTGGGGAGAGGTCGCAGGTGTTTGGACGGGAGGAGTGGGCGGTCCTGACAGTACTTGTTGGGTGCTGGGTGCCAGGCCTGCCCCCTCACCCGCGCCGCCCCCGCCCGGCACTGGGCATGCCCCGGGAGCTTCTATATATAAAGCGGCGCCGCCCGAGCCCAGCAGTGCCGCTGCCGCTGCCGCCGCGCCCCTGGCCATCCGCGTTGCCCGCCGAGCCCCGCCGAGCCGCTGCCGCCTGCCAGGTACCCCGGCTCCTGCCCGCCCCGGGGAGAGCCAAGGAGGGGGGCTGCGGGGCAGGGGCCGCAGGCACAGGGACCTTGAGCGCCCGCGCCCCCCGGTGGGACCCGCAACACTATCTGCCCCGGACATACACTCATGTGGGGACCCGCTGCGCCCCTCGCTGGAAGGGCTGAGTGCCAGGACCCCCAGCGTTGTTTAGTGCAACCAGCCTGGGATGTGTGAGTGCAGGGGTGCAGGATCCGTGGGTGTCCCTGAGGCAGAAATCCCTCAGCCCCCTTGCGGTGGGGGTGGGGCAGTCTTGGATACTTCCTGGAGAAGACAGGACAGAGGCGCAGTGGCAGCCACCCTCTGCCCCCAAAGTCTTAGGGGCTGCGTGGTGGGGTACAGACCAGGCTGCCCTGACTCCCTCCTTTGTGTGTCTCTGTCTCTGCCATCAGACTCTCAGCCTCTCCACCTGTAAGATGGTGAGTCTCCTCTGGTCCCTCCCCCAAAAGGCCCACGCCCCTGGCCCGAGGGAGGGCCCAGAGGGTGGTGGCCAGAGCACAGAAACCTAACCCCAGGGGCTGACCGGGGCAGACAGCCCAAACCCACAACTAGCCGCACGTGTACTCCTTGACACCCCACTCCATTTCTTCTCTATCAGCCCTGGGAAGTGGACACTTTTGGTACCCTTTGGCATTCATTCATTCTGTAACATTTATCAAGCACCAACTGTGTGCCCCAGCACCTTTCTAGGTTTAGGAACATAGCAGTGGTCCCACAGTCTGGGCTCTCAGGGAACTCACCTGTTAAGAGAGGGCACTCAGAGTTTGGCACTGGGGAGCTGGGATTCAAGCCTGGGTCTGAGGTCAAGATCTGCCCTTCTGACCACAGCACACTATCTCCCCATGACCAAGGGGATTCTCTTAATCCAAGTCTCATCAGCACCCTGGGGTGGGACAGGGCAGGCGCCAGGGACCCACAAGGCCCTAAGTGACCTCACAACTTGTCTAAGGTGGCGCAGCCTGGCCCCTGGAGGACTGGCCCACCTGTGTTCTCTCTGAGCCTCTGAGCAGTCCCATGCGGGAGTTAGCCAGCCCCAGAGAGGGGCAAGGGTATAAGATTTCATCCAAAAAAAGCATTCCCATGACTCAGAACATCTGAAAAGGGCACCAGCCTTTTCACTACCAATACCTACTACAGAGCTGGGCGCACAGTAGGTCCTCAAGGCCTACTTGGGGATGCCAATGGAACAGTTTCACCTACATATTCGGGTCTCACCAGAACTCTGTGATGGCAGATGGGTCCCCCAGGCCAGAGAGGAATGAGCAGCTCGAGAGTGACTGCTATTCATTCCTTCATTTATTCTTCACTCAATGAGTACTTACTGTGCAGCTACAGACTGACAAGCACCATTTTAGGCGCCGGGGCTGCTTCAATGAATAAAACAAAAACTTCTGTGCCTATGAACCAAGCTAGGGCAGACTCTGGTGCGGCACTGGTGGGTGACAGTGATCCAGCCAGCAGCACGTGGCTCTCTGCCTTCACCCGCTGGGGCCCCGCATATACAGTTTCTAAAGCACCCCCACCTACATGTTCCTGATGACAGGGTGACAGCCTTCATCCCCCAAGCCAACCCCATCCTCTCCTGGTTCCTGGGACAGTGTCTGCCCAGAACATAACCCAAGGTTAGGAGAGTCGGGGGCTTGTTCCCCTTGACTGACTTGATGTGCCCCTTGCCCACCCTGCCCAAGACTCGCCACTTCTGCCCCCTCAGCTCTCCCTGGATCCGCTGGGTCCCGAGTGGGGCTGCCCCCTTGGCTCCAAGGACCTGGAGGAAGAAGAGGGCCCGTGGGGAGGGGGCCCTGGTCTGCCGCCCCCAGGCTGCTTCCCTGGCTCCTGGCGCCATGACGTGGGCCTGGACTGCAAGGGCTCCCCCGATGGGGCAGAGGCCCGGGCCTGGACTGTCTACTACTACAGCCTCCTGCAGAGCTGTCTGCAGCAAGCTGGCCTTCCGGAGACCCAGGACCGCAGCCAGGTGCCCCGCACAGGTGCCCAAGGGCTCCGTGGAGGGAGGCACCCCTAGGGGAGGGAGGCACTCTCAGCCCAGCCTGCTTTCCATCCCTGTCAAGGTTGGCCCCTTCCCCTGGGCTCTGGCCTGGTCCAAAGCCAGGGAGGCAAGGCCAGCCAACCTTGGGCAGGCAGGCATTGTTTCAAAGGGTAACTAGCCACCAGTAAAGTCAGAAATCATGGCTTTCCTCTGGCTCCCAGAAGACCTGGAAGATCTGGAGCCAACGCTTCTACAGAAGTGTCTTGGGGGCTGCTGCGGAGACAGCTAGCAATTGGGGACCGAGACTCCTGCCCTGCTTTATCTGTTTCATGTATCAGATAGTCACAAAAGATTTTGTGTGGACAGAGTTCACAGCTAGAAGACATGATAAATCACAGACTGGCCCCATTGTACAGGCTGGGAAATTGAGGTGCAGAGACTCCTCCCCCCAGTGCATAGGGGCCAAGGGTCACACAGAAAGTCAGCAGCAGAACTCAGGCTAGAACCCAGGTTTCTGGTCACCCAACCTCCCTGGGGTGGAGCATCTGCAGAGAGACGGGAGCAGCCTCCCCAGGCAGGGATGGGCAGCAGCTTTGCCTTCACTCTCCAGCTTCCTGCCTTTCACTCTTCTCATCCGGTACTGGGAAGGAGCTGAGTCCCAGGGGTGAGGGCAGGGCTATGGCTGTGGGGAAGGGTGGGCAGAAAGACAGCAAGGGCGCCTCTGGTGAGCTCCACAATGTTCTCTTCCCCCAAGGCTGCCCTGGGGCAGAGGTGACCTTGTGCATTCTGGGATCCCCCAGCACCTTTCTGTCCCTGCTGCTGGAGGGTGGGGTCCAGAGCCCCGGTAAGTGTGTGCTCAAGTTCCCTCACCTCCTCATACAGAAAGGGCAGCCCAGCCCTGGCCCAACTACATCCCAAAATACCCGCCAACCCTGGCAACTGCCTGCATTCCACTGGACCAGCTGCCATGCTCTGAGTGGGGGCGGGTTCTGGAAGCAGCTGACCCCCACTACCCAGGGGCCCTGACTGGAGGCGGATGGCATGGGGGCATTAAGCCTTTCCTGGCCAGCAACCCTCCTCCCTCTGCCCACAGGAAACATGCTCCTTTGCCTGTCCCCTGCTTGGCTGACGAAGGTGCCAGCACCAGGGCAGCCGGGTGAGGCAGCCCTGCTGGTCTCCAAGGCTGTGAGCTTCCACCCAGGGGGCCTGACGTTCCTGGATGACTTTATCCCCCCACGCCGGGCCACCTACTTCCTGGCGGGCCTGGGGCTAGGGCCTGGCTGGGGTCGAGAGGCGGCTGAGCTTTCTCGCGACCTGACTTGCCCCACGGGAGCCTCAGCAGAGCTGGCCCGGCTGCTGGAGGACCGGTTGCTGACGAGGCGATTGCTGGCCCAGCAGGGTGGTGATGTGGCCGTGCCAGCTACCCTGGCTTTCACCTACAAGCCACCAGCACTGCTGCGGGGAGGGGATGCCAGCCCGGGACTACGGCTGGTGGAGCTGAGTGGCAAAGAGGGCCAGGAGACCCTGGTGAAGGAGGAAGTAGGGGCCTTTCTGCACTCCAAGGCCCTGGGTGATGCTCTGCAGGTAACAGTCTCCCGCCCTCGAGGTCTGTGCAGATGCCAGCATGATGGGACCCATGGATAGTCACCAAATCCTACTAAGAAGCCGTCCCCAGCTCTGAGCCCTGGTGTCACTCTATCTCTCTGTGGCAATCCCTTGCCTTCTTACCTCAGTTTACTCATTGGCTCCTAAGGTAGGAGCATCCCACCTGGCAGGTACATGGGGTGGTGAGGCAGTCCCCTTCCTTCGCTGTCACAGGTGTCCGTAAAGCTCAGTGGCTGGCGCTGGCGGGGGCGGCAGGCATTGCGTCTGCATCCACGGACAGAACTGGGCTCAGTGGTGGACACAGTGCTGGCATTGCTGGAGAAACTGGAGGAGGAGGAGAGTGTCCTGGTGGAGGCTGTGTGCCCCCCTGCCCAGCTGCCCTTCCCAGGTGAGAGCCACCTGCACCGGCCAGCAGTGGGACCTTGGCTTAGCTTCCTGGCTGTTCTGTGCTGGGCTCAGGCCTCATCTTCCTCCCCCAGGCAGTCCTCCACCAGGCCCTGAGCTGGCTGTGCGGATCTGTGCTGTGGTGTGTCGGACACAGGGTGACAGGCCTCTGCTGAGCAAGGTGAATGTGGACCAGGTTCAGGTCATGACCCTGCTGCCATACCCCAGCCCAGCCCCACTGACGTGATAAGGCCCTGGGCAGAAAGAGGACAAAGTCTTTGAGGGGATCTTGGTCATCTGTGGGAGGACTCCTGCATCTGACACTTCCCCTCCCCTCTGACCTTCCTACACCCCTGCCACATCGTGAACCCTGCCTGGCATCCCATGCTGGGTACCAAGGCCTAGGGCTGAATCCTCTTCCAAGGGCTCTTGCCCACGGAATAGGCTGACCCCAGGGTCCCTGAAAAATCTCCAATGGCTGGAGCCCTTCAGGAGGGGCCTCCAAGCTGGGAGCCCAAGGAAGCTTGACCTTCATGGGTACAGGGTTCTGGGCCAAGCTGGGAGAGAGCTCCCAAACTCTGCCTTCAGGGAGCTCTAGGGGTGGCGCTCACCAGAAGGCACAGGCCCCCCAGGGCTGCAGAAACTAGGGACAAGCATGCTTGGAATGCTCAGAGAGCAGACCCCAGCTGGGCCTGGAAGCCTGGGTGGAACCTCTTTAGGGACCAGATGGGTAGTGGCAAGAGGTAGCAATCTGTGCAGTGTAAGTCAAATTGGAGGACCGGTGTTCTTAAGTGTCCAGTGAGGGGTCTGGCCTGGATCTTGGCACAGAGGGCGGTGTAAATAGGAGGAGGTCTCCTATTGGGCCAGCCCACTGAGTTGCACGCTGCCCAGGTGGTGTGTGGTGTGGGCCGTGGGGATCGGCCTCTGCGGCACCAGAACTCCTTGCCACAGACGCTGGAGGTGGCGCTGACCCAGTGCGGCCTGGGTGAGCCGGCGCAGGTGGCGGCCGTGCGGCGGCGCGTTAAGGCAGCGGCCGAGGCAGCGCTGGCCGCTATGCTGGCCTTGGAGGCCGGCCTGAGCGCTGAGCAGCGCGGCGGGCGCCGGGTCCGTACTGACTTCCTCGGTGAGTGTGGGCGACCAGGGCCGGGAGCCGGGGGGACGAGGCCCGAGGACGGCCCGTGCTGAGCCCGTGCCCCACGCCCGGCCCAGGCGTGGACTTCGCGTTGACGGTGGCCGGCCGCACGCTGACCCCCGTAGCCCTGGAACTGAACGGCGGCCTGTGTCTGGAGGCTTGCGGCGCGCTCGAGGGGCTGTGGGCCGCGCCGCGCCCAGGGCCGGCGGCCGAGGAGACGGCGGCCGCGCCGCTCGTGGAGACCATGCTGCGGCGCTCGGCGCGCTGCCTCATGGAGGGCAAGCAACTGCTCCTGATCGGCGCCGGCGGCATCAGCAAGAAGTTCGTGTGGGAGGCGGCGCGCGACTACGGGCTCAAGGTGGGCGGGGCCCGGGGCCGGGCCGGGCCCGAAGGCGCGGCCTGAGTGGTGGAGGCGGGGCCCGGGGCGGGCCCTGGGGGCCTGGCTGGGGCGGGCTGGGGGCGGGGCCAGAGCTAGGAGTTCCCGCCTGCGGCGCTAAAGACCAGACGCAGGGACCGCGCCCGCCGCTCCGCTGAAGTTAGAAGTTTAAGCTCCTTTTGACTCTTAACTGAATTCTGCCCTTGCCTGGTGTAAGAGGCCCCACAGGGAGAGCACAGAGCCCTCCAGAGAAAGGGGGGCCCGGAGTGGAGGGGCTGGAGGGGCGGGGGCGGCATTCAAGGGAGTGCCCGAACCCGGGCCGGCTAAGGAGCCTGGCCCTGTCCTGCAGAAAGGGCAAGCCCTTCGAGGGTGAATTCCTGCGGGCGCGAGGAGGGTGCTGGGAGCAGCTTCCAGATCCCTAATCAAGTTCCCAGAGTGGCCTCATATCGCAGAATCTGGAGCCATGTAGGCAGAGTAGACATTCTTATCTCCATTACACAGATAAGGAAAGGGAAACCAAATGTCTAGGCTCTTCCTGGTCTCAGTCTACCACAGCGGCCTCCTGTTCCCTCCCACAGTACAACACCCTCTTGGGAATCCTTCCCCTACTACTGCAGCCATTCCTGCGACTCTCTGCTCCCTGCCTTAAGCATTGAGTTCATCCGGAATGTCTCTCCAGGCCTCACTGCACCACGTGTCACAGTGCAGGCAACCATCCTCCTCTGCCTTTCCAGGGCCTGCCTCTGTCTTGAATACCAACTGTTTTACATTTATCTTCCCCCTAGTGGGCAGTGTACTTGGGAATGCAGGGCCCCACTGAATTCCTCCGCAGGCATCTCCCATCGTCAGAGCATGTTGGGTGAATGATGACCAAGGGCATGATGCCCAAAGGCACCAGCCCACCTGTCCTGAGCCCTAACCCTGCTGGTTTCCCTGCAAGCCCTGGCCAGAGTCTGAATGAGCCCCCCAGCCCAGTCTCTCTCTGTGCTCCTGCCCCCTCCCACCCAGATCATACCTCTCTCCTGCAGCATCTTATTCTTATTCAGCTCCCAGCCTAAGTATTGTCTCTTTTAGGATGTATCCTCTTCCCTCCAGGCTGGGTTAGGTGTCCCACCTCTGCACCTTCCATTTACTCAATCATCAATAAATATTTTTGGGCACCTAGCATTGGTGAACCCATCTCCCCTGAGGTCCAGGGCCATGTTCTAGGCCCCATCCTATCTCCCAGTGTCCAGCATGGGTTGACCTGGTAGTGTTGCCCTCTGGTTTCTGCAGCTGCACCTGGTGGAGTCAGATCCCAATCACTTTGCATCTCAGCTGGTACAGACCTTCATCCACTTCGATGTTACAGAGCACCGGAGGGATGAGGAGAATGCACAGGTGCTGGCGGAGCTGGTGCGGGCACGCGGCCTGCAGTTAGATGGTTGCTTCTCCTACTGGGACGATTGCCTGGTGCTCACGGCCTTGCTCTGCCAAGAGCTGGGTCTGCCTTGTAGCCCCCCTGCCGCCATGCGCCTGGCCAAGCAGAAGAGCCGCACCCAGCTGCACCTGTTGCGTCACCATGGCCCACCCTGGCCTGCGGCCTCCCTCCATGCTGTGCCCTGCTTCCCACTGGAGAGTGAGGCTGATGTGGAGAAGGCTGTCTGCCAGGTGCCCCTGCCAGGTGTCATGAAGCTGGAGTTTGGGGCAGGTGCAGTGGGAGTGCGGCTGGTGGAAGATGCACCACAGTGCCACGAGCACTTCTCCCGCATTGCCCAAGACCTACAGGGTGAAGCCGACCACCCCGGCATTGGGTTAGGCTGGGGCAATGCCATGCTGCTGATGGAGTTTATTGAGGGCACTGAGCATGACGTGGACCTGGTGGTGTTTGGAGGGCAGCTTCTGGCTGCCTTCGTCTCTGACAATGGCCCCACTAGGCTGCCTGGCTTCACTGAGACGGCAGCCTGCATGCCCACTGGACTGGCCCTGGAGCAAGAGGCACAGTTGGTGCAGGCAGCCTTCCGCTGTTGTCTGGGCTGTGGGCTACTGGATGGCGTCTTCAACGTGGAGCTCAAGATGACCGGGGCTGGACCACGACTCATCGAGATCAACCCCCGCATGGGCGGCTTCTACCTGCGGGACTGGATCCTGGAGCTCTATGGTGTGGATCTGCTGCTGGCTGCAGCTATGGTGGCCTGTGGCCTGCGGCCCTCCTTGCCTGCCCACCCACGTGCTCGTAGCCACCTGGTGGGGGTTATGTGTCTGGTGTCCCAGCACTTGCAGGCGCTGAGTTCCACCGCCAGCCGTGAGACCCTACAGGCTCTTCATGACCGGGGCCTTCTGCGCCTCAATCTGCTGGAGGAGGCCCTGGTGCCTGGCGAGTACGAGGAGCCCTACTGCAGTGTGGCCTGTGCTGGGCCCAGCCCAGCAGAGGCCCGCCTCCGCCTACTGGGCCTCTGCCAGGGCCTGGGCATCGATGGACCTCACTACCCTGTTGCCCACTTTCTATCCCACTTCAAATAGCACAGGGCCAGGGGGCGGGGTCCAAGCGCTGGAGGGGTGTTGTGGTGCCCTCAGCTCCCTGGTGCTCTCCCTGCCTCTCTCTCCATAGCCCTGCCCCAACCCTGGCCTAGCCCACTCCAAGGCCCCCCCAGGTCTATCCAGAGTGGCAAGGCCATTTTGACACTAAGGCCTCCTGGATTTGAGAGCCTCAAGAAGGTATCTGGGGCTTCACTGGACCCTCTTGTCCTTCCAAAGGCCCCAGTCCAGCTCACAGCTGCCCAGGACTCTAGGCATGGAGAAGCCAAACAGCTGCACACACATACAGGGAGGATGGAGTGGGCCCACCTACAGGAGGAGAGACCCTGCCTAGCCCTTGGCCTTGGACAAATCCCATGAGACTAAATCCCTGTCCTCCTGCACCCACCCCCTCATTTAACAAACTCCGGGATAGTTCTAGAGCCTGATGTGACAATTTTGGCAGTGCTCCACCTGCCTCATTTGGCCTGAGCAGTAGAAGCAGGAGACTTGGGGTAATCATCTCCTTTCCGAGCAGACATGACTGCCCCATTCTACAGATGAGGAAACAGGCTCAGAGAGGGAAAAAAACACTGCCTCGAGGTCATCCCGCAGTGGATAGAGGGTCGCAGGACAAGATGTAAGGTCCAGGTTTCCACTTCTTACTAAGTCTTACATGCCCACTCAGCTTCTAGGCCCCACTCACCTCTTGTCCTCATTCATATGTGGCCCTGAGACATGTGAACACCCTCTTCCCATGCCCCAGGCACCTTCTCCACCAAACTACCAAACTAGCATTGGCAGCAGAGAGTCTATACTCCTTTCTTGACTCAGGGAAGGCTGCTTTAAGAACTCTGCCTTCATACAGCACAGGAGCTGTGGACAGCTCCACAAGCATCCCTCCCCAAATAAAGGCTTATAAACTAATGAAATGTCTGGAGTCTGGGAAAGGCTTGGTCTATACTTCTTAGACTCAACATAGATTGGTGGTTGGGGGGTGTGGAGGAGGGAGACACGGCTAAGGGACACCCGAAGCATTTGGAGCCAAGAATTACCTGCCACAGTGGTCAGGCCTCTGGGTCAACCTTTGGTGGGGCCTGAACGCCAGGAGCACCCACACTAGGACCCAAATCTGAGGATCTCCAGAGGGTGGGATTATAATCAGAGTAATCCGATTACCACATCCAGACAGCTAACCCTCCTCCAGCCTTCAGAACCCTGAGTTCTGTCCATCTGAGTTCCTGTCAATCCCTGTCCAGATGGAATACACAGCCAGATAGCCTCCAACAATCAGAACCAGTCCAAGCCCTGGTCTGGCCTAAATTCACCCCTATAGGGCCCCTTCTGATAATAATCCATGCCCAAATCTAAAGTCACAGTCCAGGTTTGGTCATTATTTTAATGAATTTATTCAGCACCTATTTCATACCAGGTAGCCGAATCACTAAATGTTCTTAAATTGGTGACAGAGCAAAGAAACTCCAGCACCAGGTCCTATTTACGGGTGGATCAATGAGACCCAAACCCTTTTTGGGAGGAACCTGGCAACAAAGCCTCTCAGTGAGCTGGGCACGGAAAGCCACCCACTCAGTGCCTCAGTGGCAGGGTCCTCAAGCCAGGGGGGATCAAGGGACCGTGATCCAGCCTTCTCCCTTTCAGGCGCGAACAGAGAGAAACACCACCTGCCTCTCGCCATCCAGCCAGCCCGGCAGCACACAGCTCGAACTGGGGTGAGAGTTGTATTTATATTCACATCTGCATGTGCTCCTGACTGCCCCATCCAAATTCAAAGTCTCCCCTGAACCAAGAGGGGCACCTTCCGGGCCGCCATTGTCCGGTGCCGCCCCGGGGAACCAGTGCTGGAAAGTCTGAGGGTCCCAACGGAGAGGGTACAGCCGGATTGGGCGCCCCGGCCCTCTGGACCTACAATTCCCGAGACGCCATCTTTCCTCGCACACACACCCCCTCCCAGCCCCACCCGACCGCCCAGCCACCAGCGGCCGGCAGAGCCGCCTGCTCGCAGGAGGGAGAGCCTCTGTGTCAACTGCGAGCGCGGCCGCGGTCGCGGAGTGATGACGTAGCGCCGGGTTCCCGGGGGTCAGTCGGAGCGCGGCCGGGCACGGGCCGAGGGGCCCGCAGTGCCGGCGCCGCCATGGCGGCGGTGTTTGACCTGGACCTGGAGATGGAGGAAGGCAGTGAAGACGAGCCGGAGCCCAGTCCCTCGGTGAGTGACCCGCCTGCATACGACTCGATCCAGTAGCCGATCCCATCACCCAGGGGTGGTCTCCCGGCCCCTCCCTGCCAAGCCCAGCCTGTCTCAGACACCGGTGCCCATTAGGCTCGGAGCCCCCTCCCTCGCCCAGACCTGTTCTCCAGGACCCCGGCCTTTCCTCCGATTCTCCCATTTCTTCCCTCGCGTCTCCTCCCCAGTCCTTGTCCATCGTCCGCTCGCTCCCAGTCCTGCCACCCTCCTCTCCTGGGCCAAGCAGTTCAGCCGGGGGCGAGGGGCCCTGGCACCAACCTTGGTTCTTATCCCTCGGTTTCTCACAGGACGTGTGTCCCCTTGCCGAGTTGAGGGCGGCTGGCCTGGAGTGAGTGAGGGTCATGTTGGGGGAGGAGGGATTCGGTTGGGGAAGGGAACCTGGGCGCCCTGGAGCTGCGCCCCCATTAACTTCTTGTGTCAATAGGCCCGTGGGACACTATGAGGAGGTGGAGCTGACGGAGACCAGCGTGAACCTGGGCCCAGAGCGCATCGGGCCCCACTGCTTTGAGCTGCTGCGCGTGCTGGGCAAGGGGGGCTACGGCAAGGTACTGGCCCTCCCTCTCCTCACAGCCTGTCTTGCTACCGCGAAGGGCTCTCAAACTAGACTTGTAAATCGGCAGCGCCTCCGTAGAATCAGAGGTAAAAACATAAGAGAGGGAAGGGCAAATCCTCTCGGAGTCAGCACTTGAGATCTTTCCTGCCCCACCCTTGGGTGGGCCTAGACCTCTTGGTCCCAAAGCCAGAGCTGCAGGGTGGGGCTTTTTGAAGATTGGATGTGGAGAGGGAAGCTGATCCTGTCTTCCTTGCCCTACAGGTGTTCCAGGTGCGAAAGGTTCAGGGCACCAACTTGGGAAAAATATATGCCATGAAAGTCCTGAGAAAGGTGGGTCATTTGTTCAGTCGACAAACCCTTCCCGAGTGGCTGCCATTCCCAGTGCCCTCTGCCAGGCTCTGGGAAGACAGCAGTGAGTGTGATGGAGGAGGTGGGCCCTGTCTTGGGTGTTTGCTGGTTTACTGTCAATTGTGAGTGTGTTGTTTTGCAGTAACTCACAACCATAGGTGATTTTGCCTCCCAGAGGCCATGTGGCAGCGTCCACATGTATTTTGAGTCAGACCAGAGAGGGGCTGCCCCTGGCGTCTGGTGGGAGGCGGCTAAACATTCTGCAATGTACAGGACAGAATTATCTGCCCAAAGTGTCATTAGTGCTGAGGTTGGGATGCACTGCTAGAGGACAAACCAGTCCTTGGGAAGGATGGCTGCCAAGAGCAGCAGAATTATGAATAAATATGACCAGCGATAGAGGATGGTGGAAGGGTAATGGTTGGAGGGACTGAAAGAGCTCTGGGTGTCCACATTCTAACCAAACCCTGCCTTTCCAGGCCAAAATTGTGCGCAACGCCAAGGACACAGCACACACGCGGGCTGAGCGGAACATTCTAGAGTCAGTGAAGCACCCCTTCATTGTGGAACTGGCCTATGCCTTCCAGACCGGTGGCAAACTGTACCTCATCCTTGAGTGCCTCAGTGGTACTAGTGTGGGCCCAGCAAGGGGGTGGGCAGGGCTGGAGAGGCAGCCGAGGAAGCGTGGGAGCTCTGGTGGAATGGCTAGGTGGCCCTCACATCCACCCATCCATCCATCCATGTGTCTGTCTGTCCCTTCCTTCCTTCATTCATTCAGCAAACGTCTGTCTAGCGCCTATTATGTCCCTCACTTGTGTTGGGGGTGGTTATGTCCGTTACCCCTCCCCTTCATGTCCGGCCCTCTCTCCTGCGCGCCCTGTGTCCAGCCAGGCCCCACATCCAGTTGGCTGTTCCCTGCAGTGTCCTCCATCGCCCCAATCTCTCAGGGGGAGGAGAGGAGTCACAGTTGTTGCTTACTGGGTTTGGGGCCTCCAGCTCACCCGCTTCCGAGCATGTCCTCCCCCAGCCCCCAGGGTCCCCAGCACTCCTATGCAGAATGCCATGGCCCCCTGTAACTGCACGGATAAAGCCTGGCCTCCTTGGCCTAGTGTCCCCTGCTGTGCCAGGCAGCGCGGTTGGGGCTGCTTCCCCACCTTCCCCCTCTGTCCCAGATGAGCCCTGGGGCCTCTCTCCCTGCATCTCATCTCACAGCCCCCTTTAGGGTTCATCACCACCAGAGGCTTCTGCCCTGTCACGTTGGGAGTAATTCTGTTCTCCTCTGTCTCCTCTGTGAGAGTTTTTGGGAGGAGCTTTCAGAGCTGTTGCCTGCAGCTGGCATAGCAGAGCAGTTGTATGCATGTCTGTCTCCCCATTAGCATCCTGAGGGCAATGGCTGGGCCTCTTCATCTCTGTGTCCCCAGCTTCACCCAGCACAGGGCCAGGCACCGAGTAGGCGTCGGTAGATGTTTGCTGAATTGAATTGACTCCCCACGGCAGCTCTGTGAGGCAGGTAGGGCGGGAATGATGAGCCTACTCTCCCCGAGAAGGAACCAAGACTCAGAAAGTGAAGGAGCTGGGTCCCGGCACACAGCGACTCACGTGTCTGTGTCACAGGCGGTGAGCTCTTCACCCATCTGGAGCGAGAGGGCATCTTCCTGGAAGACACGGCCTGGTGGGTGTCACTTCCTGCCTCTCTCCTGAGGGACTCGGGGATCCCCCGCCCCAGGGCCCAGTGCCACCCCCGCCTTGCCTTTACCCTGTCCTGTCTGTGCAGTTTCTACCTGGCAGAGATCACACTGGCCCTGGGCCATCTCCACTCCCTGGGCATCATCTACCGGGACCTCAAACCTGAGAACATCATGCTCAACAGTCAGGGTGCGCATGTGTGCACGCCGCACATGAGGCTGCGCACACTGGGGCAGCGTCTGCTGGGAGGCTGAGGAACGCCCTGGGGTGTGCTGGGGCCCTCACCACCCCCGCTGTTCTTCTCAGGCCACATCAAACTGACAGACTTCGGGCTCTGCAAGGAGTCGATCCACGAGGGCGCTGTCACCCACACCTTCTGTGGCACCATCGAATACATGTAAGTGGCAGCTGGCTGGGCCCAGGATCTGGGAGGAGAGCCAGGGAGGGCCTAGTCTGATGGTTCCACCTGGCCCCCAGGGCCCCTGAGATTCTGGTGCGCAGTGGTCACAACCGGGCGGTGGACTGGTGGAGCCTGGGGGCCCTGATGTACGACATGCTCACTGGATCGGCAAGTCCAGCCCCCTCGGAGGGCAGGAGTTGGGTGGGGAGGAGGGCCCCCTACCCGCTCCCAGGGCAGGGGCGGGCCTGAGGGGAGGCCCACAAGGCTCCTCTCACCCTGCCTTCTCCAGCCGCCCTTCACCGCAGAGAACCGGAGGAAAACCATGGACAAGATCCTCAAAGGAAAGCCGGCGCTGCCCCCATACCTCACCCCAGATGCCCGGGACCTTGTGAAAAAGGTGGGCTCCCTCCTGCCTCTGGGCTGCTTCCCATCTTGGCTCCCAGGCCCTGCCTAGCTTGCCGAGTGTCTGGGCTGTGGGGGTGGAGACGCCCCTGCCTGGGCGGCGTGCCCGTGGGCTGGAGGAGCCCTGGCTCACTGGGTCCAGGGAGCGGACCGGCCCTTGGGCCTCAGCTCCGACTCAGCCCCACCTCTGACCTAATCTTCAGCATGCTTGTGGCGAGCTAGCTTCCCTCCCATCAGAAAGGGAGTCATTGCACAGAAGTGTGAGGGCGGGCACCCCATCCAGATTT